TGACGAGTTGTGTTGTGGTATTGGGTTTAGCGAGGCTCACTGACTGTCTGCAGTGCCGACAAAATGTCTGATAATGCAGCACATCCACGATCCAACTTCACAAATGATCAAGCATACTGACAATACGACCAAGTTGCAAAAGCGAGGTCAGACCACCTTTATTGTTTCAAGATCTCGGATCGTTTTGCAGCACAATTATTGCGTCTTCTGTGATTTTCACTCTTGCTTTCTTTCGCCCTTCCACACCCGATTTCCCCTGCCAGATTCAGCCAGCCGTGGAGTCCTACACCGGAGGCCATCTGCTCTCCTCGGCCTCGGAGCAAAGCCTCTGCAGAGCGGTCGCCCACGAGATTCTCGTCAAGTCACGCCGAGCTCGTCGCCGCCACCTCGAACAGGCCGGACACCAGTTGACCAGTCACCTGTTCAGCAGTCGGCGTGTGGCCTCATCTGGTACCAGACGAGTCTCAAAACTGCCCAAACATCAGTCAACAATTGGGCAACGTTCTTCGGGCGAGGCGGTCTCGCCTCGACGCCGCATCGAGAAACGCGTGGACACTGCCGTTGCCAAGAGGAGCTCATTTTCTACCCTCACTCCACATGTTGTGGCTTTGTCCGGTAGCGGTGCTAAGGGATCGGCAGCACTCGTTCGGCCCACTCGCAAGACACGAGAAAGAGGTGGGAGAGGAGCAGCAAGAGGACGAGGAGCAAGAGGAGGAGGAGGAGTGGGAGTGGGAGAAAGAAGCGAAGAAGGACGAGTGCTCGGGGCTAGAAAGCAAACAAGTGGAGACGGTGGAAAAGTGCGAAAAGCAAGAGGAAGAGCAGATAAAGTGGCGAGTGAAGGTGGAGTTAAAAGAGGAAAAGAAGAACCAGATATGGTCTCGTATCAAAGCCTCGCCGCGGGAGATGTACTGCCAACCTCTGTCAAATCCAGTCGGTAGGTTCAAGTCCGTTTTATGCTTTTTACTGATAGGCCTTGATCCGAAATGGGAAATTCGAGGATAGTCAAATCGGAAAAGATGGCGCTTCTGAAACGAAATAACTGGAACTTCTTGGAAAAGTGTGTTTCTATGTGAAATCTAAGTAACACCTTAAATGACACAATCAGATAATATTAGGATAACTAGTTTTTTCAAATCATCAGTAGATCCTAAATAAGAATTCTAGTTAATCTAGATCACATAAGGTGAGGAGTGGCAAATTGTTGAATTTTCCCACAAAAAATGAGTAGTTCTTAATTTTCAATTGAATTTCACATTGCTTCGCTTCCCAAAGGGTATTTTCCTCCATACGGGACGGTAGTTTAGGCTT